CTTCAACACGGTGACTGGTGACAGGAAGAGGCAAGTACGGCACAAAGCAAATCAAACCACTCTGTCACACCCTGCAGGTGTAGCAGCCAGAGCTCAGAAAAGGTGAGAGAAGTGCTCTGCAAACTCAAAACATAACTCAAGATGGTTTGTGACGGGGACCTTGCGGTGCTCCATCACTTCTGCAATTTTTCCAATGCTCTCAACTTGTGAGAGGTTAAACCTCATCCACTGCTTCTGCTCTCACAACCTGCACCTACGTTTAGCTGCACTCCTTTTTCTCATCTTTGCTGTCTAGTTTCTCTGTATTTGTTTCAGAGTGCAAGGCAGTGCAGGTACTATGCTTTAATATTATCCTGAAGTAGGTCATGTTTTATTGCAAATCATTTCTAGAGGCTGTATTCAAATCACTTCTCCATCAACACCCCCAGCCTATTCCTCAGGCTGTGCCAGGAAGGAAGGATATTATGTGAAGCTGCTCTGGAACATGAATACTAAGTCTACTGATCTGTGTAATAGGAATATTTGTAGGGAAGGTCTGCATTTCCAGACACATTTGCAACAAAAGTACTTATTTTAAAATATGTTAACACACCACATGCTCTAGCAGAGGACAGAGCCAAGCACATACTGTCCTAAAATACGGAACTGGGAGAACGGTTTAAAGTCACAACCAAGTTCCTTGCTCTACTAAACCGTGACAATCCCACTGGAATCAAAAAGCAGCACTCAGCAAGTGATCCCCTTTTCACTACAGCCAATTTTCTTCCCTCTTGGGAACTCTAGAAGAAACTATTTAGTTACCTAACCTTTGTTTTAAGGCAGACAGTACTCAAGATTCAGATCTCAACCAGGCCAAATCAGTCCTTCAGTCTCTGATTAAACAAACAGTTAACGATTTTCCGCTCTGAAAAAGCTAAACCTGGTCAGCTTAATTACCTGAAGGATCCTGTAATGTCAGGCACAATGACTATTTACGTAAAGACAGTCAAGTAGTTGATTTCTAATTCCCACCACCAAGAGCTGCATTCTGGAGGTGGCAAAACTCGCACCTCTCTTCACGAAAATTTTTGAATCACCAGCCCTGTGTTAGCAGGGCAATACTTCTCCCCTTTATTTATGTCCTACAGAAGTGAATAAGTTCTGTTTATCACCAAGGCATTATGATGTTTTTTATCCCACCAGCTGCCAAAAGCAAGTAGCTTCAGGTCATTTGTGCCTACACGATGATGACAGAGCCACACTTACACAAAAGCTGACCTCAGTCCACAGGGAGCTGTCATTGTGAGGTGCCTTCCCAAATATCAGTGTTTCTTTGGTTTTCTGGATGCAGCAAAAATAAATAAAGTACGCAGTGGAGGAAGAGGCCTTTCAATACTGACTCAATTAAAAATTGCAAGGCTAAAACATCGTAGGCTCAGGCTGCAGCACTGACATACTTGGAGGTCAGACCACCCCAACAGGGTCAGGTCTTCCCAGATCGAGCCCCCATGCAAACAGGGCAGGGCTGCAGGAGACAAGCTACACTCATTATTTCAAACTGCTGCAACGAGTGCCAGGATCAGAAAACCAAGCTGAAATGTTGCAGATATTTGCAAAAGCATGGCCTCAAAGGAAATACAGTCTGAGGTGCCTTCAGAAGACAACGAGGAAGGTGGGAAATGCCCTCAAAGCTGCTCAACTTATGCAAAACAGTCTCTCCTCTAGAGTCAGACAGGGGCTTTGAGAGTACAACCCCTTCCTTCAAATCCAGAAATACCAGAGCGAAACTGTTGGCAGGCTAACACAACAATGTAGGATGAGGTGTCAGGAGTCTGTGGATAACACCTGGCTTTCCACTTCCTTCACGTTGTGCGCCAGCAGTGCTTGCTGCCAACACAGAGCCAGAAATCACTCAGCACCAGGCAAAGAGCACCTGGCTGTCACTCAACATGAACTCCGTAAGCAGAGAGGGGGAATTTAATTGAGTCTTCCTCTTCTGGGATACCCAAAGACGTACATGAACTTGCTACATCAGCCTGTAGCTTTAGGCACTCAATTGGACATCCAGGATCCAGCCTGTGCTGATCCATGGATGGGATATTTCTTGCTATTATGAACTTACTGTCTCATCTCTCTAGGAACAAAGCTGCACAACCCCCTAGAAAGCTTCAAACTGCTACAAAATGCAGCCGCCCACCTGCTCCACAAAAATGGTTGCCATGAATACATCCCTACTTCTCTGTGCCTGCTATTTTTAAACATACTTGGGAGGCAACTGAATTCACTGGTGGTTGTGCTATTTAAGTATCTGGATTAATAATATTCAAGGAATATACTGGTACTTCTCTGTGGAGAAATACAGTACCTGCCTGGTCTATACCTGGCTCAGATACCTTTTCAGATGCCCAACTTCTGTAATCCAACTGCAAGGTGATAAACCCACAGACAATAGATGCTTTTAACACAGAGCACTGTAAAGTGAAACCTGTGAGTTTTATTCCTCAGAAGCCCCAGAAGAGCCTAAGGAAACTTTACAAAGGGAGAGGAAAGGACAAGCTAAAAGATATTTAGAGCTGAAACTTTAACTATTAAAATATCTATAGTTTAATGCAAGGCCTGAGTGCAGGAAGACTGGAAATAGAATACCTGCCTGGAAGAAAATAAAAATTTAAAAAACCCCAAACAAGCCAGCAAACCCAGGAGAGGCACATCCCCAATGCTCAATGTGCTGACAGGTCCTGAACCTTTTCCAGACATCCTTGAATTCCTAAGAGCATTTAGTTTTAATACATTTCAGACACGTTCTCCTCTAGCCAGAAGCATGAGAAGTTTGGGAAGGGAGTCCCAGCCCAGTCTGTGCCCCATCAGGCCCAGAGCAGCAGGCTGTGGCAGCTCTGCATGTGCACCCAGGCTGAGCTGGACTTGGGACCAGGACAGGCTGATGGGAGCCAGCATTACAGGCTGCTGCTTCAGCCTTGCTCACGGGTCAAACGATCCCAGTGCCACCTGACAACTCACTGGGTATATCATATTCCCACCTCCTGCCACAGACATGCACGAGGCGTCAAGCAAGTTTATTGTAAATAACCTGAAAAATTTGTCTCTGGAGGTTCCTGTATAACACTCCTCTTTTCACACTACAATTACAAAAACTGATTTAATGTTTCCTGTGAAGAGTTGCTATACCTACTTCGACTACTAACTACTACCTACTTCTAACCTCAGTTTACAGACTCCAGGTGACATGGGACACACTATTCAGATCAGTTCTCTGAAAACTCATGGTTATGAAGAGCTGCAGCTCAGCTTGATCACAGTCACAGACCTCCAAATGGCCCAGATCACAGGAGCCCAAATCGATTGCAGAGCAAACACCAGATTTGGTTCATAAGCGGCTCACAAGAGATTACCTGCCAGACATTACAACCTCAAACCCAATCAGTTTTGGAAGTGGTTGATTTTAGAGAAACAATCACAGACCCTAAACAACTTACAGATTTCTAACACTACACATATAGAGTATCTTCTTTCCTTTAATCTTTCCCAGTTAGTATCAAAATGTGATTGAAATGAAGAGAGGAGCACAGAGCAAAGCTAAGGCATGACCTGAGAGCCTCCACACACAGTAACTCTTCTGGAAATTCATCCCTCCTGAAGTTTCTCTAACTGCAACAGGGAAAAATATTTGGAAAAGGTCAAATGACTCAATACCACTGAGACCCGTAACTTTTCAAGCAAGAACAGGTTTCCATGTGCTTTCAGTTAGAGCACAGACAGGTTGGGGAAAGGCGGGAAACCCCCCAGCCCACTCTGCTCGTTTTGAGAGCTATGTATGTGTTTGGTTTTGAATTACAGTTGATTTTGCTGCTGGAACACATCTGCAACGCTGAGCGAACTGCTGAACCCCAGCCAGCTCAGAAAACAACCCACACGGCTGGCAGCACCAGCAAATCCCAAACGGCTCCTAGAAGCTGCTTTCAGGGATAACAAGGAGAGGGAGATGGATATTTCTCTGCACAAGCTTTTCCTGAAACACCCTCCAGTGCCACTTATTCTATTATGACTCCAGGAAGTGGAAGGGTTAATTTCTTTCCAAGTTCACATACTGTTTGAATTCCTTAGATAAACTGCTTCCACCAAACGCAGGGATCTAGCCTCAGGGGAGAACACTGTGAGGAAAAGCTCTTTTGATAGATTTTCTTCAAAAGAGAAATTAATTCAAAGTCCATTTCTGGAGGTGTTCCACACCCTCGGCTTCCACCAACTTCAGATGAGGTTGCATTGTGCCTCAGGACAAAAACCTCCAAGCTTTGAGCACTGTCCTACCACTTCTGTTTGGAAGACAGAAATGTTTTACGCTTGCTCAATAAAATCTCTCCTGAAATGAGACACCACAAAGAGGAAAACCAGACCCAATCAGGCTTTAACCCTGGGTTAAAGCAGTTAACAGCTAGCACAAACTAATCCTATACCTTTAAAACTGAGCAGTCACTCAGGAAAGCAAAAAAACAAGTTCTGAAAGCCACTGAAGGCTTCCCTCACATTTTGTAGCAGAAAGCAAGTCTGGGCTGTTTTGGAATTCATGTTTGCATACTGTTCGTGGTAATCTGTGCGCATAGTTGGAAACAAAGCAAGTTTTTATTAGCAATTAGTAACAAGAGTAGGGTCAGACCTGCCTGAAGCAGTCAGAGAAATGCCAATACAGGATGGCAGAACCTTTTAAGATGTGTAGCAGAACGATCCCAACATGACATAGAAAACACTGCTGCTCTGAAGTGGGAAATGCAATAGCATCAGTTCAAGGAGATAAACTGGGTCTTTAACACTGACAACTTTGACTCCAGGCAGCAGTTTTCCCTTGCACAGCAATTTGCAATGCAAAACAAACTACTTCCACCCTTACCAAGAAGAGAAATTCAGTATCAAAGGGGGAGAGCAAAGCTGAGAAGGGTTGATTTGCTTAGACATAGTTTTCTACAGAGCTGAGTTTCAAGTAAGGCATTAAGGCAGTACAGAACAGGGCTTGAAACAGTGTGTGAGAACTTGGGCAAGGAGGAGGGGGGAAGAGAAGAGAGGATTTAATCCCCTTTCAGGGGAGTGACCTCCCACTCTCTCCCCTCATCTCTGAAAAATTCAATCCAGCTCGGATCAGCCAACACCACCCAGGTTCAGAGCTCTCCAACTATGTATTTCCCCTGCTCCCGAGAATGATATGGCATGTGGGGCCCTACAACAGGACTATTAAAATCCCATCAAGGGGTAAGCAAGTGGTGGCCATATGCTAAACCACTCAAGGGAAGAATAACCAGGGAAAGAAACACAGCCAGGCAGCAAATCTACAGGCAAGGTCTTACCTGGTAGATAAACTAGCAAAGTCTCCTCCATCTAGCAGCCTGATTTTGCAGAACAGAACCCCATTGACAAAGGGGACAGCAGTCAGCTCTTCTAGAGTGAAACTTGTCTGAAATTTGAATTTCTTCTTCTTCATCAGGAAAGCCATGGGCAAATTCAGCGTGGAAAGCTCAGGAATTCCAAACAAGATCAGGGAGAAGTGGCTCACAGCACAAACAGACAAGCAGAGGAAGGGCAGTCGTTCCGGGAGCAGAAACAGGGAGTAAATTCCAGTTCAGTTACAACGACGGCCCAGCTTCAAACGCACGATTCTCTTCTCTTTGGCAGTCGGATCTGGCTGCGGGATCATCGCCACGGCAGGCTTCAGGTGAGCAGGAAGAGGTCAGATCAAATCTCTGCAACATCTCCAAGGGAAAAGCGAGGGAGGGAAGTTGGGTCTCAGCTCCAGACCAGCAGGAGCTGTCCCAGTTAGAGGCTGCAGTGCTCTGTCTTCAGCACAACACCTCCTGAAAGCATCACTTGTGAGAAATCATCTCGAGTCCCCGGAGAGGCCTTAGGTCTGCAGGCAGCACATTCAGAGAGCTTCCAGTGCAACTCTTTGATACAGGTCTTTGGGTCAGCCTTTGGGAGGGAAATGAGTAAATTAGTTCCAGCCAGTCTTGGACTCCTCCTCCTGCTCTAAAACCTGTTTGGATGGGTAATATTCAGTCCAGACTCATTCCAGTCTGAAGAGGTACGGCCCCAATTAGCCCAGCCCCAACATCCTCTTTCCCCTTTTTGCCTAGGGCAAGCTTCACTGTTGTCATCCCCCTTGTAATTTCTGTTTTGCAAAGCAGCTAATAAAAATTTGCTCTATTTTCAGTCATTATATTTAGAAGCAGTTTACAGCTCACGATCATTCTAATGTGTAGTCTAAGCAGAAGAAGGAAAAGCCGTCTCAAGAAATGAAAAATACGTTTCTTTCCTGCATTTCCAAGCAGCCCTAAACGTTAGCACCTGTATCTTATGAAGGGAGAAAGCAGCAGAGAGAGGGGAAAAAAACAAGCAGCCTGCTCCAGATTACACAGCATAACAACCGAATCAGGTCATCTGGCTGTCCAATCGCCAGGCCCACCGGGAATGCTGCCTTCCCCCCGGCACCGGGTCTGCTCAGAGCTGTGCCATGTACAGCCCAGATTTCGGTCTGGAGACAGAGATTTCGTTACACATTAACACCCAAAACAGGGAGGCGAAAGCTGATGAACATCTCAAAGGGACAAGGTTATGAACACCGGGCAGTAAACACTCCTCACTGATTCTAGGAGCTGCCGGCGTGGGTGGTGGGTGATTAAAGACCCTCTCCCGCGCGGTGGCTGCGGGAGAACCCAGCTGTCTCTGTCAGGGCCCGAGCACCTCCACGGCCATTCTGCTGTCCCACAGACACCTTGGAGCACAGTGGGGGCGAGACGGGTCAATGCTCTACACCACCAGCCCACTCCACGAGCAGCGCCTGCCCCTGCGCCGAGCTGCTGCCAGGTCTCAGCCTTGGCTGCTGTGAGGTCACAGCCTGTCCCCTGGCACTCCGGGGTCATGCACTGAACGGTATTCAGGACCCAGCTCTCTGTCCAAGCACTGAGCTGTGCCCAGGTCCCAGCTCTCTGTCCGAGCCGTGCACTGAGCTGTGCCCAGGTCCCAGCTCTCTGTCCGAGCCGTGCACTGAGCTGTGCCCAGGTCCCAGCTCTCTGTCCGAGCCGTGCACTGAGCTGTGCCCAGATCTAAGCCCAGTTCTCTGCCTGAGCCGTGCCCAGGTCCCAGCTCTCTGTCTAAGCCCTGCACTAAGCTGTGCCCAAATCTTAGCCCAGCTCTCTGTCCAAGCCGTGCACTGAGCTGTGCCCAGCTCTTAGCCCAGCTCCCTCTCTGAGCCGTGCACTGAGCTGTGCCCAGGTCCCAGCTCTCTGTCTAAGCCACGCACTGAGCTCTGCCTGATCTTAGTCCACCTCTTGGCCCTCTGAATCCCGACTGCCCTGCAGCCCGCCCCCAGGGGCCAAGCACCGAGCCCTGCCCGGGCCGCAGCCCAGCTCCGGCCCCACAGCCCCTGTACCGAGCTGCAGCCCGGGCTCAGCACCCTCGCAGCCCGTGCTGCCCGATCTTGCCCCTCTCCCAGCTCTCCATCACCAGCTGCCTTACGGAAGGTCTCAGCACGCTTCCCAGCGCCCTCCACTGACCTGCGGCGCGGTCCCGGCCCGGTGCCTGCCCGGCCCTGCCCGCTCCTCCACCCCGCTCCTCACACGGCGGCCGCCGCTCGCCGACACGGCCGCCTCTACCCGCGCTACGCCAACTGCGGCCGCTACGCCAACAGCGCGGGCAGCACACGGGGAGAGAGGCGCCGCCACGCTTCGGGAATACCGACAGCACGTAACCCTCGCCCTCCCCCCGAGATTAGAGAACGAGAGGGGCGCCTCCCGATTGGACAGCAGCAAGGAGGCGGGCTGAGCTCTGCGAGGCAGTGATTGGCTGATCCGGCACGGGGCGGGGAAAACAGCGCGAGGATTGGAGGGAAGCGCTGTCGGTTTGGACAAGCCCCGCCCCTGCCTGAGGGGGTGGGCGGGAAGCGGGGTCCTCGGTGTCTCCTCAGCGGGAGCTGGACCTGGGCTTCCCGGCGCACAAGATGTCTGGGAGCCCCTCTGCAGGCTGAGAGCTCCCAGCTGGCACGGGAGCTGAGAGGGTGGAGTGTCCCTGCCTGGGCCGAGGTGGTGGCAGAGTCATCTCTGACATGAGATATAGGGAGCTCCTGGGAGTGGGTCCAGCGGAGGGCAGAGGATGACAGGGGAATTGGAGCATCTCTGCTATGAGGAAAGGTTGAGGAAGATGGGTCTGTTTAGCCTGGAGAAGACGTAACTGGGAGGGGACTTCATTAATGTATATAAATACCTGAAGTGGAGTGCCAAGAGGATGAAGCCAGGCTCAGCTCAGTGGTGCCAACCACAAGGACACCAGGCAATACGCAGGAAGCGATGCCCAGGAAGTTTTACCTGAACATAAGGAAGAACTTTCCTGTGCAGTGATTGCTCACTGGCCCAGAGATGTTTTGGAGTCTCCCTCACTGGAGATATTCCAGAACCGTCTGGACACAATCCTGTGCCTTGTGCTCTGGGATGACCCTGCTTGAGCAGGAAGGTGAGACCAGATGAGCCACGATGAACCTTTCCAACCTGACCCATTCTGGGTTTGGTGACAGACATCATCTCTGCAACCTCCTGACAGCCAGGAACCCTTCCCCTGGCTTGTCCCAGTGCCCAAGCAGCTCCTGGTGACATCCCTCTCATCAGCGTGTCCTATGGGCTGCAGGCACACGGTTCCTCAGGCCCCTCAGCGGTGTGGCCATCCTGTCCTCCCCTCAGGACACCACAGAGCGGCTGTGGGTCAGGCCAGCAGTGCATGGGCTGGCTGGGAGCAGGAGGGAGAGCTTGGTACCACAGAGCCCTGGGGGAGCAGCACGAGGCAGGGCCTGGAGCTGGAATCTCACCCTCCGCATGTGAGATGTGGCAACCAGTTGGGCACATCCCTTCATCAAATTGGCTCCTTGTTATTATGTGCTGCTGCTGCGTCCAGCGCTGTGGCTGGCATCCCTGGTTAGGCTGGATTCCGTTGTTTAAGGGCAAGCAGAACAAAATGTCTCTCCTTGTCCTGAAGGAGCCTGCAATCATCAACGTGATTTGCCTAGATTTTAAATTGAGGCATTTGCCCAAGAGCCTCTGTGGCTGAGAAGTTGAGGCTCATATGGGAGGAACTGTTCCCAAGGCTGATATGCAAAGCTTGGATGAAAGCCTTGGAGTCCTTGCTCTCTGCCAGGCTTTGATGCCCAGACTCCTTGCCTGTAATCTGCCATCTATGCAGACAATATCAGAGCTATCGAATAATTCCACCACAATGTGAGCCTCGGAAAAAAAAAAAAAAAAAAAAAGAAAGAAAAAAAGAGTCTGCTAGGAAAAGTACAGAGAAATGTCCTTGGATAAAAGTGAAAAATTTGATCAAGCCAAATACATTGTTACAATTTTTGCTTACCAGGTTAAGTTTACACAGCCTTTGGACTGGGAAAACATTCTGTATTGGTACGGTGAAACCATGACAGGACATATCAGGAGTTACCAGGAAACAGCAGGGATTACAGGCTGCTGTTACAGGTGAGGCTTGAATCCTTCCATCAATTCTTGTCTGATGTTTTCAAGGCTTTGAGACATTGCTGGAGATGGGCTGGCAATTTTTGATTTGTGTTTGCAGTTTATTGGGAAAGAGCTGAGCCTGCTAAATATTTGATATTTACCAAGCTATGATGCTGAAATACCAGAGGCATCTGAAGAATCCAGCCCAGTTCTCACACCTCTCATGCCCCAGCACATGGCTGACAGATATGTGGATGCTCTGCTTCCATCCCTAGGTAAAGGACAAACGATCCCTGTGTGTGGTGTGGGAGGAGACTGTGTTATCTGCTATGATTCACTCTGGTAAATAACCTTCTGGAGGACTGCTCTTGTTTATAGCAACAGCCTCATATGCTAAAGTTTACAGAGACTTTAATCCTTGCTGTTCTCACGCATATTTACTTTGCAGTTTTATCAGAAACATCTCTTGAAAACCTCAGTGTTTTTATAATTAATTGAATAATGTGACTGATGTTAAAAATAAATGGATTTGGAAAAATGCCCAGCAAGCTGCTGAGCAGTGTGTAGTATAGCAACCGTAGCTGCATTCTCAGGGATATGTGTGTTTTCCTAACAAACGCAGTCTCATGACTGAGAGATTAAATCTTTATTAGTTCAAAATTCACCCTGTTGATTTTGCTGTGTTTATGCTGCATAATTGTTTCTGGAGAAATTCACATGTTTTAAAGGGACCGTGCTACTGTTTACAGAGGGGATGGGTTAGTCTGAGCCTTCCACAGAGGGAATGTGCGTGTAGGGTATCTTCATCCATCCACATCCCTCTGCCTTTATAATATTTTCCGCTCCAGGTGCAATCCGTTGGCCATGGGGCCGTGTCTGTGACCAAGGTGCTTTGATACCCATGGATTCTGCTCATCCCAGACTCACATCCTGTGGATTTCTCCTCTATGGCAATGCCCACCTCACCTCTCCTCCATGACCCTCAGCCATATCCCTGCCCTGTGCTCTTCCTGACCTAAGCCTTTCCTGAGGCCGCTCCCCAGTGCCGCCACCACTTCCTCAACTTTTGCTGGCTCAGGGCATTTTCTTATCAGCCTGGGATATTTTTATCAGTCTGTGCTGTGCAGTTAAGTCTGGGCCTCACCTCTGCTCTCCTGCAGAGGTGTGCCTGGCTGCCCAGGGCTGGGACCGCTGTGCTCTGTGAGTGGCCACCAACAGAGATGCCTTGTCTTGCCTCCTCTCTGCTTTGAGGACAGAGATAAAGCAGCAGTGGAGAAACAAGGCAAGATAAATGCAGGAGGGATAAAACTCAATGAGGTGAAGTGAGGTAGATCCTGTAATGCATTTGGTGAGCCTTCAAATCCTATCTCTTATCCCAGGGGAATCCCAGATGCACAAGCCCTGTAAACTACATCATCAGCATCTTCCTCTGGAAAGCATCATCACGCTAATTCATTTGTCCTGGCAGCCAAATGATTAAAGTTTTAGAACTAAATTACACATGTTGCTGTAACAGCATAAACACAGTAATGGTTCTCCTCTGTTACACCTGTCGCCTCTGCTGTAATGGCCTTAATGAGCTTTCAGCCTCATCATCCAAAAGAAAGAGATTATCACAGGACACTTTGTGCTGTAAATGCATTCTTGGAACCGTGGGTGGGATGCAATGCCCTGCTCCAAGGAGCTGTGGGTGGGAGCTGAAGTGGTTGGGTGCCTCCCCCTGAACCGGGGGCAGGTCCAGGCTGGGGAGCTCCCAAAATGGGGCAGGGGGTGCAGACACCACAGCAGGGTAAGCTGTAACATGCAGGCAGCTGGAAACCCTGTGAGGGGAATGTGTACCTATCCCCGCTGCATAGGATTATCCCACGGGGTGGAGTTATTCCAAGCTTGCATCTTCTCAGTTTAATAACAGGCTGTGAGCTGCACTTTGACCTGCTTGTGTTTTTCACTTGTTCCATATTTAACTGAACTCATCATCATAAAGGCCAGGAACTGTTTCACTTTCTGTGCCAGGCTGGGTTTCCTGTTGGATGTGCAAAGGACACACCTGCACAGTAGGTTTCTGGCCTGCCAGCACTGGGAATGCTGTTATTTGACAAAGTGAACCAAGGAATCTGGAGTCGGTAGATTCCTTTCCCCAAATATGTGGCTAGACCTGAAAATCCAGTTGCCTGGCTTTTTTTGTTTACTGGTTTCCATGTCTGCTTCAGTGGGTCCTGGGAATGTACAGCAGGACTCTCCCTTCATTCTGGGAGGTCTGTGGGTGGAACTGGATCTCGTTTGCCCCTTCCAAAATCTGCAGACTTGGAACCTGCTTTGCCTCAAGGCTTGTTGTGTTTATTAAGCCTTACCCTGAGTCTATATCCCAGCTTCCATCCCTTCAGTGTTGTGCTGGACAAGAGACTTGCTGGTTGTGGCTGTGGTCTGTCCCACTGACTGCAACCCCACAAATGCTGCTGCTACCCCAAATACATCAGAAGCAACTGTAAGTCTGTGGTTCCCCCTTGACACACCAACCTCTAATTTGGGATCTCAGGTGGCAGAGGTGAAAGAAACTGCCCCTGCTGGCGCTGGGATTCTGCCTCGGGTTAATCACCTGCACATCTGGGACCCAAGGGCTCCTGAGCCCCATTTGCAGGTGATATCGACTTCATTCCAGCACTCAAAAAGTGGGCTGGAAGCTGTGCTGCTCAGTCTCATGAAGCTTCTTATCAGGTGCTTTCAACCAAGACGAAGAATCTTAAATGCTTCAATTTTCACACTGTCCTGACCATCCTTCTGCTGGCAGCACTTACTGGCAACAACCTCTCACACTGCAACAGGAAAAAACCCACAAAAGATCCTCAGAAAAATGCTTTGCCAAAACAGGCTTGACAAACTTTAAAAACATGTTGGAGGAAGTAGAGGTTATTTGGGTGAGTATGCAGGCGATATCATTCTGTCCCTTGGTGGGGATCTGCTCCAGAACTGCAGTGCAGTGATGGCAGTGTGCTGTACGTGTGGGATACTGACATATGTGTGGCCTTCTAAAAAACCTTAAAACCTGTCCCTTTGCTTATAATGAGGGACTTGATGTGAGTTTTTAAATCTTGTGCTTGCCCATTCGGTTCTGTAATGAACTCATCCCAAAGACAGACATCTCAGTGTCCTCTGCCATGTCTGTGGGAAGCAGAGGGACCTGTCTGAGTCCCCAGGCATCATGACTTTTCCAGGGATATCTCATTGCTGCACTCTGCCCTTCAAATTTCCTCCTCTCCAGGCTCTCAGCCCTGAAAAGATTCACCAGTGAAGGGTGCAAAGAGGATCCCACAAGGTCTGGAGGACAGGGCTGGTTCCTGGGACAGTGCAGTGCCACAGCTCGGGATCCCGGCGAGCAGTGCCATCTCCTGGAAAGCCGGGCTGCAGCCGCACACATGGCTGGCAGAGCTTTGCTCCGGAGGGAGCAGCGGTGCTCCTGGTGGCTTGGTGCTGTCTCCATGGCCACAAACATTTTCTTGTCACCACTGAGAGTCCCCCCACCAAACTCCCTTTTCCCCAGCAGGCAGGAAGATGCTGCTCACCCCCATGTCCGAGGCACCCTGTGGCAGAACATCTCTGCATGGCTCCTTCCCAGTCTGGATGTTGAATACAAATCTCCAGGTACAAAAAGAACGGTAGAGGAGAACAAATAAACATCTAGAAATATTACTCCTTAGCTTTTGTTCTGTTGGGGCATCAGTTGCCTGTTCAGTTGAATGTCGGGTGTACTTGTTTGCCCTGTCAGTGTCCTGTTCACCCCTTTTGTCCTGGTTTTTACATTAAGGGACACTTTCCTCTGTCCCTCCCCAAGTTTGATAACTCTTCATGAGCAACAACCAAGCCCCCTCATAGTACAGTTCACCCTATATTTAAAATGTTGCCACATCCTTTTAATGAGACAAAAATCTGTACACACAACACACGCTTGAATGCTGCTGGCTTGACTAAGCTCTGCATTTATCCTGAAAAGACAAGAAAAATGGGTGGTTCCAATGGCAACATGTTTACTCCTCTAGAAAAGCAACAAAGCTGAAGTGCTTAGTCACTGAAAAAAATGCACACTGCAATTTAAAGCTAAAGGCTGGTATTTCTACCATTATTTTAGCCTATTGTGGCATCTTCTCAGCAGCTGGGAGATTACTGTACTTCAGTAATCCATCAGACATTGTGAAAGAACTCGTGCTTAAAGGTAAGCCTGTAAAAGCTATTATTTGAAAAAGACTGTAATTATGTAAATACAAGACCACTAGCTTCACAAACAAGAGGAAAAGCTACTGTGCCTTGTGGTTGTTCACAGCTCTCCTTGGTCCCTGAGGACTGTTGCAAAGTTGTCGTCATGAATTATTTTCACTTCTGCCTTGGCACACACCAATGAACTGCAACAGCCTGTTTACCAAAATGTATTTTTATTAAAATTCATATTTGTAAAGGAGAGATCATTACACAAATGAGGTAAACCAACACATATGACATAGTTCTCACTTTAAAAATAAATTTCAATTCAGCAATTGATTTGATTCCACAAAGTCTAAGAGGAAGAGTCAGGTAAGTGCTACTCATGTGGTGAGATGCCAGACAAGGCAGGATCCACCCTGACTCAGCTTGGAGATGTCAGTCCCAAAGGGTTGGGAGTCTTCCTGGGACCAAACCCTTCTCACTGTGTTGTCCTCTTCTCCCCTATGAGATTTGTAGACAAGAGGAGATGAGTAAAGGCCAGGGACTGACAATGGTGACCTCTTCACCTACTGTTCTAACCAGGGGTTCCCCATCAGCATCTCCCCATTAAAGGCTGTGTAAAGGTTTCATTTGATTGTGCAAATTCACTCCCTCGTCAGCCCTAAAGGAGACTTAACAGCAAGTTCCATTTCAAATGTAATAACCTGGCAAGCAATAAGCCTGTTAAATGTAAGCCACTTTTGCAAGGTAGAAGACTTACACTTCCTTTTTTTCTTTCTCTAAGTTTTCTTCCATGCATATACAAGTGGACCCTTAATCTAAAAGTTTATGAAGTTACTGCAAGTCTGTGAGAATCATGTTGACCATCCTGTGCAATTAAGCTTTCTCATTAAGGACCAAACCCCATAGCCTGAATGCCTCAGAAGTGGCTGTAAGGTTGTTTCACCCTGTATAACGGTATAGGATAGTGAGGAGAATCTCAGCTGTTTTTCAGGATGAGGCCAGCCAGCAGACAAACACAGAATGCCTGGACTCAATTCCAGCTCCCAAACAGTACAAAACAAACATCACCAGCAGCAGAACCAAGTAATGCCCCAAAATTCACTCAAATAAGTGGCTGACAAACTCCTAAACATTGGGAATTCCTGTGTGGCTGCAGCTTAGTCCAGGACCTTAGTCCAGGTCCACTTTGATGGATCAAGGTATTGTAGAGGTGACAAACTATGCAGATGAGGCAGAGATGGGGTTTCACTGTTCCATCCATCTGAGTGAAACTCATCCAGGCCCTTGGGTGTTTACGCTGTGACAAATAAACGCATTGTGCCAAGACGTATCCCAGGAGAGTTTCTGGTACCCAAGACATGAAACTTTCATCACGTCTGCCAAGTTGGTAGAGAAATTTCATGACTGCACGCAGATAAAACATGAGGTGAATGCACTTTTCAATCCCACTGGGATCCTCAGGGGAGGTAGGTGGGACTTAAACTGCACAGAGGCTGGGTGCTGGTCTGCATGGGCTGGATGTGACGCTGCAGGAGCACGATCCACAGCTCTCAGTGAAGAGGGAAGGTTCTGCCACATCCGGTACCATGTTTCCAGTAAATGCTTTCAGCAAGAGCCAGAAACGCATTCTCTGTGTGCTCTGTGGGTTCACAATCACTGTACCTTGTACAGCTGTACAGCTGCAGCACTGATATCCCGACAGAACTCTCCACGTTAGAAGTCAGTTAAAGGCTATAGATCTCGAGAGAGAGACAAAAAGAGAGGTGTCATACTTTGGACAGTTTTTTTTTCAAACAGAAATTAAAAATAACTTAAAAAAAAAATCTATTGTTTGAGGAACTAAAGCAATTCATGTTAAGTTTCTGGTTTATTACACATCCTGCTATGGCTCTGTATGAGAGCCTGAAAAGGCAGATAAGCACAAGATTAGCAGAGAAAACTGTTTAGACTTAGCCCAAACTCCAAGGGAGCTATTCACACTGAGAAGAGGCAGCACCCCTTGCTCCCAAGTCTCCTCTCCCAGCATGGGTAGGTTTTTAGCACGGCATATGTCCCATAGAATCACAGAATTGTTTAGGTTGGAAAAGACTTTTAAGATGATTGAGTTCAACTGTCTCCCCAGCACTGCCACATCCACCACTAACCCATGTCCCCAACTGCCATTATCTACATATCTTTCAAATCCCTCCAGGAATGGTGACTCCACCACTGCCCTGGGCAGCCTGTGCCAGGGCTTGACAACTCTTTCAGGGAGGAAATTTTTCCTAACATCAGTCTAAAGCTCCCCTCCCATCACTGTTTCTTTCACTGATCATACCATCTTGCTGCCCTGTCTGGCCAGGGTCAGTGGTGACCGATGGGCTGGGTGTATTGCTCTGCAAAAATCGACGGAAGTCCTTAATCATGGGGCGGAGGACCTGGATGAGGGCACTCAGTGCTGCCTGTGTCCCCTCCATGGCCTGTGCCTGCCGCTCCTGGGCACACGCCTGCACCTCCTGCGAGCGGCGAATCATCTGGAGCAAGTCATTCTGCTGCTCCAGGTGCTGGGCAATCTCCTTCACGTGCAGGTTGGTTACTCGCTGCTCCTGCAGGAGCTTGGCTGAGTTCAGGGCAATGCGGCTTTTCAGCTCCTGGGGCTTGGCAGACACCTCGTGCTGATGGGCCATCATCTCCAGGGGCGCCTCCGCAGTCACGGTGGTGGGGGCTTCCGTGGTGCAGTACTCCACAACCCCGTCCTCCAGACTGTGGTAGGTTGTCTCTGCAGGAACTGAGAACAAAGGACAGAAAGGGAGTCAGGAATAGCTGTGATATGGGATTTTTATCTACAGGACTATTCAGTGAATATCACAGGAATACGGCCTGTTCACTGAGATAACATACAATGGTCAGCAATGCATAAAATGACCTATTTAAGTCTACTCCACCCTCAGTCGAGCTTCCTTCTGGGCTGTACAAAGGAATAGGGAATGCCTTATCTGTCTAGACAATATAATTTCTCAACCTCTAGTTTAAAACAATCTTTCCAAGCAGCATTAACTGACTGACACAACAGCAAAGACCCAGAATGGCCCCTGTCCGTAGAAGGGATGCTCTTTGGGACACTGCACACTTGAAAATCAGCCCCGAAGATGTTTTTTCCCCTGCTTTTGTCCCTAGAGAGGGACTGAAGAAAATCCCAAGGTGGAAAGGATCCTTGGTTGCCTTGTTCTTAAGGCTGAGTCGAGCTGTCAAAGCTGACTTTCAGTACCTGCGTATCTTGGGGCCACTCCCCTACAGCACAAGGGCAGACCGGGAGGAGCATTTCATCACAGAGATGTGGAGATTTCTTTTCGTTGGGGCTTCTCTTTGCCCAAAGAACTTGTGAACACCCTATCCCTGGAAACGTTCAAGGCCAGGCTGGATGCAGAAACCTGGTCTAGTAGAAGGTGTCTCTGCCCATGGCAGGGGGTTGGAACTGGGTGCTCTTTAAGGCCCTTTCCAACCGAAACCTTTCTGTGGCTCTCTCCCCACACAAGGCTCGGGGGGTGTCAGGGCCTGTGTGTGGCCCCGCAGTCCAGCCCAGAGCGTTCCGGCGGGCGCAGCACTCACTCTGGGTCAGGGTGACCGTGGTGGCGGACGCGGTGATGGGGATCTCGCTCCCGTCACCCGCGCCGCAGTCGCCGCTCGGCAGGCTGATGATGGTGGCCTCTCCCAGCAGGTTGCAGATGCGCTGCTGCATGGGGGTGAGGATCACCGGGGCGGCCGCGGCGCCCGCCGGGTCCTCGCCCTCAGGCCCGTTGCCGCCGCCGTTCTGGTTCTCGCCTCCCCCTTCCATGGCGGCCCGCACTTGGGCCACTTTGCGCCGCACCTCGGTCTTGAGGTCGGACCACTTCTTCTTGACCTCGGGCAGCTCGCGGTGGCAGGTGGCGACGGCGTTGACGCGGCGCAGGATGTCGTGCCAGGCGGCGGCCTTGGCGGCCAGCGGCACGCCCGCGTTGAAGTGGTTGACGAGGAGGTGCTTTCCCCGCTCCAGCTCCTCCACGATGATCTCCACCTCCCGCTCCGAGAAGTTCATCTTCCGCTTCTTGGCTGGGGGCGCCGGCGGCGACGCCATGGCCATGGGGGGCACCGGGGCACAGGGTCACACCTGGGGGGGGCCTGGGGGACGCCGGGCAGGGCCGAGGGGCGGCAGGGCCCCCCCACCCCCGGGGCCGGGGACAACAGGGGGGCCCCGAGGCCCCTCAGGGCCCGGAGGGGTCGGTCCCCCCTGCTCCCCCTTTGGCACCGCCAACGATACGCAAATTGCGTACGGCGCCCGCCCGGCAGCCCCGCGCAACGGCCCCCGCCCTGCGGCACTGGCGTAATGGCTTCCAGAATCGGCCCCTCTTCCTGCCACGCCAGATTGGCCCGCCCGCCTGCCCGTCACGCGAGTTTCCCGCCTCCCGCCTGCACTGCCGCATTATTATTGGTCAGCAGCCCTGTCCATCAGGAAGCCAAGAGGCGGCCCCGCCCCGCCGCTGGTCTCAGGACACTAGGCCTGCGTGGGGCCGGTGAGGGGTTGGGACCACCCGTGGATTTCCTTGCTCCAATCCCATTGGGTGCTTCTCCTGTCCATCAATCCAGAGCGCGCGCTGCTTTCCAACCTACCGGATGTGCGCGACGTCCGTCAAGCTCAAACTGGCTGCCGGCTGTTGCTCTGATTGGAGCTGTTCGCTTTGTCACCGCCTTCCCAGAGGGTTCAGCCAATTGCGGTTTGGCCCACGCGCCTGCACCGCTCCCTGTACAATACTCAGAAACACCGCGGCGCTGCCTTCCGATTGGTGGAGGCGAGGGCGTCCCCGTGACGTCATACCCACCGCCTCCGTAAGCGCCGCGGGGCGTGGCCCAGGGCGTGTCGCCCGCTCTGATTGGTTGGCGTGAAACATCACGTGTCACCGACGGCGCGTGGCGCGAAGGCGGAAGCGGCGCCATTTGCCGGTGCCGCGGGCGTGAGGGGTGGTTGGTGCCGGCGCAGTCATGCCGGGGGCGCGGCGCTCTCTCGCCTCTCCGGTGGTGAGCGGCGTTCTCTGCCCATGCGGGTCCCCGCAAGGATCTGCGGTGGAGAGCAGCGGCAGCGGCGGCGGCAGCGGCGGGGGGAGCGCGGGGTCCTGCGGGCGGTCGCTGTGCGAGGCCTCCGAGCAGGATCGGCGTCTCCGCGCTCTATTCCAGAAGCTCGACGTGAATCGCGACGGCGCGCTCTGCATCCACGATCTGGCCGTGGGACTGGGCCGCCTCGGGCTGCACCGCACCGAGCTGGATCTGCGGGTGAGCGGCGGCTGGCGATGGGATTTGGCCTGGCGGGGCTGAGCGTTCCGGGGGTGAGGGAGGGTTTGGCCGCTCCCCTCGTCCCCTATCCGCTCCAGAGCCCTCTCCGTGCTCGTCTCGGGAGCAGGACGTGGTCTCTGGAGACCTTCCAGCTGTGTCTCGCCTTGGCAGCGGTGACACCTGCGCATGGTAGCGCCATGGCAGCTCCTGCGTCCCTTCAGCGTCCTGTTCCCCAAGCGAGAGCGGGGCCGTGTGATGCGAGACCTCCCCAAAAGTCCTTGCCTCCTAGCCATCCTGCCTGCTGGCCTCCGCTCTAGACCCGGAGGAATCAGCTTGCTTGCTACCTGTAGGCATGAGTGGTATTAGTGTCCGTAATTAGTAAGATTAAAACCTTAGGTTTTGGGCAGGAAAAACCATAAAAGAAATCGTGTTCCTCCAGGACTCAGGACGGGGCAATTTGCATGCTGACTTACACTAGTGGAAGCTCCTTTGGAAGCGGTTCCTGCAGTCAGGGTAATTGTGCAGGTTTCATTCCATCATCGTGTTCCTCATATGAGTCTGGCAGCGTGTTGCTACTCATGTTTGCTCAGAATGGCTTATGCCAGACTCGTTTATTTTATGGGTTTGGAAATATCTTAGAACGTAGGGAGGCTGCTGTACTGTGCAGTTTGCACGTGGAGCGCATAAAACTTGCAGCTCTAGCTTTCTCTTTCAGGGAGCCTTTTGTACTCACCGCTCTGTGTGATGCTGTACACTGAGGGTTCCAAGGTTCAATATGATGCTGCTGTATTCAACTGTGATTAGTGTAATTTACATGTCTATGATGAATGGGCTTGTCCTCAGTGCTGCCTGCCTAGTCGCTTGTATTTTATGTGCAAGGCCATAAAAAAGCTAAGTATCATGTGAAGATAGGAGATAAACACGTGGATGCAGCCATGGATGTGCCACCAGAGATATGCCTGAGTCCTACAGGAAGGAGGAAGAGTTTTAAGAATAACTTCTGAGTCACTGAAAAGATACTTAATTCAAGTGACAGCTCGTATTCTCTCCCTGTCCTGGGAGTGGTGCCCCGGTTTGAGTGCTTTACTTGCAAAGTCCTTTCCAGAGTTTCTAGTTCCTTTCTAACTTTGAATCTCCAGCATCTTAATTTCTAACATTTCTTTTTGGTTGGTATCTTCCTAGCTGCTGTAAAATATAAGAATTCCTTGGCAGTGTGATCTTGTGAGTAGTTTAGTTGTGCTGCTTCTAAAAATACCGTGAGTGCCATGGGGGTTTTCTGCTGGGTGCGTTTGGGTATATAAATCTGATTGTACCTGTGCATGCCCTGTGACACTGACTTGCTGCCAGCTGTGGGGCCCAATCCTTGACCTCTGGCAAAAGCCCCTCATGACCCAGAACGTTTTGTGCTTACACCTGCATGCCTGCCTCTTTTTGCATTCTCTTCGCATGTAATTCAATCCAGCCTAACATTCTCTAGGCCCAGGAGGAAGCACTTTAAAATAAACTGCGTTTTTACTTCCCAGCAGAGAGTTTCTTTGCTTGGCGCGCTGCGGGAGCGGCACAGAGGAAGCGTTCTGCGGGGACTGGAACTCGCTGCCGGAGGGAAGCGCTGCCTGGAGGCTGCTTAACAATCCTGTCTTTCTGCTGAAGCCCTTGTCTGTCAGTATTGTTCCTCAGCCCTTTCCTTCCTCTGACTCCTCTTCCACATCCATAGTGTGAGGGGGTTGAAACAGATGTTTCACAGGGTGCCCAGAGAAGCTGTGGCTGCCCCATCCCTGGAGGCGTCCAAAGCCAGGCTGGAAGGGGCACTGAGCAACTTGATTTAGTGGAAGGTGGCAGGGGTTTGGAACTGGGTGCTTTTTAAGGTCTTTTCCAACTCAAACCGTTCTAGAGTTTGCAAAGCATTGTTAGTATGGTAGAGCATCCCCTTCAGCAGGGTAAAGACCATCGAGAGTGAGGATGCAGAGTTCAAAACTCTCAAGTTCCAGTTAAAAATGTGGGAACAGCCCTCAACTGGCTAGAAGACTTCCGTGTCGTGCAATTTTTAGGGAAATCAAATAAACTTCCTGTTTCCAAAGCAGTTCTATTAATAAGTCAGTCTTTTTTCTGCTCCAGCTTAGCTAATTATGGCACCTCAACGCTTAACTAATGTGAGGTCACGCTCAAGGAAAGTGCTCAAGTGTCAAGATAGAAAACCTTTCTGATTTATTGAGCATGGTATTTGGACCAATTTAGGCATAAATCACATGGATTGCTTGTGATTAGTAAATTACTTGGTGCACTTTATTTTTCCTTCTATGCAGCAGTATATTTGATATGGGAGTTGCCTTCCAACATTTGGGAGCAGATGGAGAAAACATTGGGCTCGTAAAGTGAGGTTATCACCAATCTTAGCTGCGAGCTGCTAATCTCCCTGCGTCAGTAGGCTAAAAGTCCTTGTGGTAACAATAACTTCGGGCTGAACTTGAAAAGAAAATGAGCAATATTTTGGCTCCTTCAATGCTTGAGAGTTCTTGCTGAGATAAAATCCTTTGTGGCAATCTTGGAAAATTGCTACCTTCTCTTTTAGAGGTGGCCTTCTGTGGTGGGGGAGAGAAGGGCTTGTACTCAGATGTCCTTTGAGGTGGAATTTTCTTATGTAAGCCATGCTTGCTTTTTTTTTTTTTTTTTTTTTGTTTTACCCATGCTGTTATCTTTAAACCGATTGACAAATACAGTGTGCCAGACCCGTGAGCCTTGTAACGAAATGCTTGTTTGCACTGGTCAGCATGAAGCAATCCACATACTTCACTGTGTTTGGGCAGTAAAATCATAACCATGTGAAGAATTTCTTAAAAGCCTTTCTTGTTCTACTGTGTGAAGGGATAGTATTTTACTGCTAAATTTCATCTACCTCTGGGATGGTCAATGTCCTGTTACTGTTGCTTTCTGACTTTATATAGACCTGTGGAGCTTGAAATATGCTCAAACAGAACTGTTTCCTACTTTGTATCTGTAGATGTCCTATTGCTGAAGGAATGTGTGATGGTAATACTTGTGTGTTTGCTAATATAACTGTTTTCCTACTGATCCTGATTAACTGCAGGGCTGGAGTGCCATTCCAAACCTCATCTCTGCTGGTGAAGTTCCAGACAGTCTGAACTGGTGGAATTAATCCCAGCTGCCTAGCGACAGACTGAAGTGGTGAACTTTGTCTGCAGCTGCCTCTTCTGCAGTGGTGCTGAGCATCTTCTGCTGGACTAGTTCACTTTAAGAAACAAAAAAAACATAACCCTTGTCTCTTTTCAGTCCCAAATGCCCTCTTTGCCTCTGCTCTAACAGTGATGTCCTCCTTGGTCTTGTGATACTTTTTCCTCCTAAGTTCATGTATGCTCCCTTGGTATCAGCTTCCCAATGGAAAACTATATCAGCTCCCAGGCTGCTGAAATCTGCTTTCATCACTTTTTCCTTAGCTCTGTATCTCCTCTTTGATCTTCAAGTCCTGGCTGTCCAAACTTCCCCGCAATGTCTGTTTTTTACTTTTCCCATGTACTGATGAAGCAAAGCTGTGCTGCTGCAGCTGGACTCTGCAGTGTTCTGTTTGCGTCAGGCCTTTCTTCTGACCAACTTTGCATTTTAAATGTGCCCCTGGACTCTTCCAGCTGTGTCCATGCCATTCTGGGACAATATATCAGTCAGCCCTTTCGCAAGTGACTCCATGGATGGATTGAGAAACTCTTTCTACTGTAGCAGTTGCAATTGTAAAAAAATTTAATCTTATTTCTGATCAATACTTTATCTTCTGTCATGACGTCATTTAATTCTTCCTTTCAGGCTCTATTTCTGTAACTGTTTTATTCTTCAGCACTTTTGAATACTCTTTTATACTATGCACAATGTACTGCAATTCTTAGCAACTGTAAGGGGCAGAAGGACCAGGGACTTTTTCCAGTATGATGCTTTCACCTGTTTTTGATTCACAGCGATCTGGAATTGGAGGACCTGAGTTTTTATTGTTACAGAAGTCAGTTTATGTTAAAAAGAGCAACATTCTAATACTGTTCTGTAATTTGCACTGGAATATCTCTCCAGCTCTCATTTAGATCTCGCAATACATCTCAGAACCTATATACATTTATGCCTTATCCCATTTTCATGGTTTATGTGTCCTGCATCCTGCTGGAGCACTTGTGGAGCTTTTGACTGGGCTTTGTAATTCATCATGAAGGGTTGAGCTACACCAGATTGTATCAGACAAATACTGTTAAAGTTTGATATTCCAGTTGATAGCCTTCCTTCTGCTGCCAACAGCTTCTCATCCACCCATCTC